TTGTCCATTGATCTCTTGGGCATTTTTTAATTGAGGAAAACACACACACACACACACACACACACGCACACATACAGAGGAAAACACACACACACGCACACACACACACACACACACACACAGAGAGAGAGAGACAGAGAGAGAGACAGAGAGAGAGAGAGAGAGAGAGAGAGAGAGAGAGAGAGAGAGAGAGAGAGAGAGAGAGAGAGAGAGGCCAGCGAGGGAGAACATTCATACCGAGGGTACGGTAAAAGAATCTGGCCGCATGGGATCTCTCCATTCCTTCTGTTGCTTCATTAATTGAGATTGCAGGCGCATAACCAGCCTTTTCTTGTTCATCAAAGATGGAATGCAATTGTCTGCATTGCCAAGGCAAAAGTACGTAACAGACAAAGTAGGGGAAGATACAAAAAGAACAACAGGAGCTGATGGTTCAGTTTATGTGAGCAAACAGTGTGCTAACCGGAAGCAGCATGAAAAACAGGTGATATAAAGCTGCTTCTATAATCCCCCATGCAAATTTCAAACCGCTGAGAAACCGCTACTCCACATACATCGTTGAACCAATCGCCGCCAAGTTGTCGACCCCCGCGCCCTGGAAGTCGACTGCCAAGCGGAAATTAAATCTATAAGAGCATATGCCTACCGGAATCGTAACTGTTACAGTCGAACATTATGTTCGATGACAGTCGCTACCGTCTTCACCCGAATAGAACGCCCGATCATTATAGCCGTATCTGGTGCAATTTTCAGTCCAGATACAGCTATAATGACCGGGCGTTCCATTTGGGTGAAGATGGTAGGCCTTGCGGTCACTCGCCGGCTGTGGACGCAGTGGGATGCATGCATGCCTGCTCAGCGCTGCTACTGGACTGACAAGCAAGGGCCTGTTTACCTGACAGGCTGACACTGCTGACAGTGTGTGAAATGGGGAGGCCATTGGTGGACAGTGGGGTTACGGTATTGAAAGCAAGTTAAGCAACACACATGAACAAGAAGTAGGAAGGTAAGAAAATTATGGTCCACGCCCTTCTCTCACAATTGCTACTTCAGCCATTTCGTTAAAATGGATATTATTTGTTAAATTGTTATTAAAAAAAAAAAAAAAGTTTTGTTGAACGAAATTAAACCGTTACTTATCTGGTCCTAAAACGGTTTGAACTCCTCAGGGTCCAGCGTTCTGAAAACGCCGAACCCCTTGCATGCAATGCCATCTGGAGTTGGGAAAAAGTCCAATACATGCAAGGAGCATTCCACCCTCAAGACTCAAGATGTTACATCTTCGAGTCACACGGGTCCTACCGGACCCGACTTAGGGCCGGAGGGACACACCAGGGCCTAAAGGCCCGACCTTTGAGGGTCACAGGCCCTAAAGGCCTGATTTTGCACTCAGCCCAGCGGGTAGGCCCAAACGACACTTCGTTTGGGCCTGGCGGCGCTCTTGAGGCTGCCACCCGCCGATGGAGGCTGAACCGTCCATCTGGACGGTCCAGGGTCTGGCCTGGCCTCGCAGCATTGAGGCCAGACCATGGCCTACCGGTATAAGTACCGGTACCTGCCTCAGTAGAGGTATCGACCTACCGGCACTATACCGGTACGGTATGGTCAGCGCCAGAGCGCTGTTTTGATGCGCTAAACTTAGCGCAGGGGCTGAAGCAGGAGCGCAGCATAGCGCAGATTAGCGCAGCAGCGAGCGGAGCAGCGGCAGGGCGACTGAACCAGCACGACGGCCATTGCCGCCTGAGGTACCGGGAGCTTGGAGGATCTCTCCTCCTCTCCCTCGCCAGTCTCTCTCTCTCCTCTTCTCCTCCTTCTTCTTCTTCTTCTTCTTCAGATTGGAGACTATCCAGTTGGACAGAGATCAGGGTTGGATTTCGGTGATACGAGACTGTGGTACTTACCTGATTGGAGACTTGGAGATTGTTGAGGTTGATACTCGGCTGCATCGCAGTTGGACACCGGTTACATCTGGACTCGGTTATCTCCGACATTGGTGACCTTTGGTCCTCGACATTTTGATCTTGTTATATGACATTTTGGACTACTATTTCGGAGACCTACCGGACTCTATCTTGTGACCTATCAGTGTGATCTACCTCCTACCTCCTTCGTCTCTCCTCCCACCTTTCATCTGTGCATGTGTGTACGGGATCTGGGTATCTTCTATGTATGACCCAGACCCCACCATCTCATGATTGTATGTGTGTGGAGTGATGCCATGTAGGTCAGTCTATGTGAGTCAGTCTATGTGAGTCAGTTCGTTATCAGACTTCCGCTGCATAAATGCTCATCCTATATTGGTTGATCTTTGGTTCTGCCCATACTCATTGAAGTATGCTCAAACAGTGACCTTTTTAGGGCCAAATATGTAGGTTTCGCTTTCGTTCGAAAAGTGCTAAAAGTCCATCTGAACAAAAGATGGAAGATCCAAGGGGCCAGTCGATAGGTCCTGCAGTGTTTGGATTGGGTCCTTTTCATACAATTCTTACATGTGGTGTTTGCATTGGGACACTGACCACTTCAAGGCCTGACTGACAAACTGTAAAACTGCCATCTTGTTACTATAGATAGACGAGCGACAGGATGAGAATATATAAGAAAAAGAAAGATAAAAAAAAACAGGATGAGATAGATGAGTACTGGCAAGAAGATGAGATAGATGAGAGAAGGATATAGCTTACCTTTACGTAAAAGGAAAAAAAAACAAAAAAAAAATGCCATTTTGTTGAAATTAACAGAATAATATTCTAATTGCACAAATTTAAACTGAATGTCAAGTTGTGAGTGCTTCTTTGGGGGGCTCGGACGCTCGTAATGCACATAAGTAGTGTTATATATCATAACTCATTAATAAGGTTTAGCTGTCCTCGACCTCGGAATAAATGCGAAATGGAAGTACCTTACGTGTACCAGATTTTCTAGGTCAAATACACGAAAAAAAAGAAAAAAAAAGAAAAAAAAAAAAGAAAAAAAAAGGCAGTGAATCAGTGATTATATTAGGGGTTTAGGTTGAAGTTGTTGAACAAGCCTATTTAAAAATGGGACCGAATGGGTAGGCTTGTTCAACAACTTCAACCTAAACCCCTAATATAATCACTGATTCACTGCCTCTTTTTTTTTTTTTTTTTTTTTTTTTTTTTTCTTTTTTTTCGTGTATTTGACCTAGAAAA